GTGAAGTACGACAGGATAAGGTTTTGTCACCCAGTCTTTTTAATCTATACTCTGAAGAAATCTTTCGGGAGATTTTGGATGACAGACAAGAGGGAGTCATACTAAGCGGAGAAGTAATCACAGTAGCAGATACATTGATGTTACAGCCGTTCTTGCAAAAAATGTTCAGATCTCTTTGTGTGTTCCTCTCATGTAGGTTTAAAAAGTGGCAAAAATGTTAAATTTAGTTGTTTTTAGTATTTTTTTGTGATTAGCCTCCCCCACTAGTTTTTCTATGTCAGTCAAATATGATTGATGTAACCCCCAGGTTATTTTATGGATTTTTTACGTAGGTGGCCACGTCAGTCAATTATGCCAAATATGTTGATTCTAATTTTTATTTTCTATTTTTGTTACAGATTTTAAAACATCACTGTCGGACAGATATGCCTGACGTGGTACTCAATGTGTTAATGGAAGGAATACAGAGCGCGTAAACCATTTCAAATAACTTGACAGATGGTTAAATGTAAATTATGACTCTAATGAAGAGATAATAAACAGGATTGAAACATCACGTAAAGCTTTTGTGACTTGGAAATCAGTTTTATGTAGCAGAAACCAGTCGATGCATATTCGCAAGAAGGTCTTGACATTTTGTGTGTAGTATATCCTATTATACGATTGTGAGACATGAACATTAAGAACCATAGTAAATATAAACTCCTAAACATTCGAATTGTGGTTCTATTGCCGCCGGTTCCCAATTCCTGCCAGATATTCGCCTAATATCGTTTTCGTGTATTGGTTTTGCTTTTTCCTTATAATTTGTGTCAAGATTTTTTAAACTACTTCTAGCAAAGCAATGCCTCTATTCGCTCCGTGCGTGACTGACGCGACACCTACCGCCTTCATCTGACAGTTTTTGACCTCCCAATCCCAATTTTCAGGTTAAACATATGACATATGTTTGACATTGTTAATTACATGCGAAATTGGCAATTATTAATAATTAGTTTTTTAAATATTTTTTCAGTTTATGTACAAAATAAATTTAATATTAAAAACTGGGTTTCTAGAAATTCATCATAATATATCTTTTCAACCCCAAACGGAAAAGAAAGGGAAAAATCTGGTACTGACAAATCAAGTTTTTCACGTGAAAGAGCATAAATTAAAAACGATATAAAAGCTAAAATCATCAGGCAGTAGGCACTCTGCAGTTAGCTTGAAGCCTTAAGAAATATAATTTAAGGTAAATTATTTAAATTGTTCCTATTTCAATTGCATAAAAATGAAATTATGTGATATTTACTTTTTCATATTAATAGCATGAATTCATCTTTTTCTTTTCTCTAATTTATATGTAATCTTTGGGAACCTATAAAAACTACACTCACTATTTTTGCTATTATTAGCACAATTAAATACGCTATAGTATTTGTACACATTTTTGATAAAAATTATGCGTAAAAAGATAGGTCCAATTATGTCAGATTTCGCCGCTACGCACGCTGGCATCGTTTCAAGGTATCCCTACCATGGTCACGCACGGAGCGAATAGTTTTAACATGTCATGTTTATCACCTTTTTGTGTATTGGGCATATACTTTTTATGGCCCACCCTCCTGTTTCCCATATGCTTTTTATTAGTTTATGCATCTCCTTATGTAGCTTTCGCCCTCCTGCTTTTACCACTTCAGTGGACATTTCTGTTATTTATTGGCTTTTATTGTTTTTTAGACACTTTATTTCATTTTCTATTTCTTTCTTTGTGGGTACTTCTACTACTGTGATCATCTTTAATTTCATGGATTTTTTCTCTTTCTTCTTCGTTTTTTTTTAACAGTTGTGTTAAGTAAGTTTGACAATTTCTCATTATTTACCCTGGTTCATTTATGGGTTTTTTTTTTCTGATAACCTTTTTCCATTTTTCTTGTTTCCTGGTAGAAAGATCTTATTTCATATTTTGGAAATTTTTCTTCTCTTTGAGCTTATTTTTTGTTGTTTTTGCGTGTTCTCTTCATGATTTTCCTTTTCTGTATTCTTGTCTGCTACCTACTGTCACTATTATTTGTTAAATTTTTGATTCTTATTTTTCTAATTGCTTCTGCCACTTTTTGGTATTCCTCATCAAACTATTATTTTCTTTTATGTTTTCTATTAGTTTTTAATGTTACTTTATTCGTGTTTAAAACTGCTTCCCCAATTTTCTTCCGCGTCTAATGTTTCTAGTTCTTCGTTTAGTCTGATGGTTATTCTTCTTACCTTTTGTTGACAGTTATCATTCATATCTTATATTCTGTTTCCACTTTTTCATAAAATTCATCGTTGTCCTCTTATGTGGCATCTTATATTGGTGCATGAATATAAAATGTTCAGATGTTAAGAACTATAGAAACTTAACTCCAAGATAGGTTAATTTAAATAAACCTCTTTTGAATCAAAGTATCCCACCTACCACCAATTAGGTCTATGTGGCTCTAAAAGTAAGTTTAACTTGGGGTTCTTTAAACAACTAAATTGTCATTAATTTTATGTATATTGAGAAAGGTTTATAGCACGGACTTTTATAGCATAAGAAACAAGAACTTCATAACTGTATTATAACCTATGTAGACAAAAATGTAGTTGGGTTAATCTGGCTCTCCGGCACAGATTTATTATGCTTATGTTTCGTTGATCCCGTTTTACCACATTCTGTCTTGTACATATCGGGTTAAAGTCCATCACTTTCTACTCCATCTTTTCTGTATCATAATATCTGTTACTAACAATTTGTTTTCCCCACCACTTTGAAACAACACTATATTTTCTATTTCTACTATTTCTGTATCTAATTGTTTTATTTCTTGTACAACTATTATCTCTATTTCATATTTTTTTGTGTGAAAAAGTAACTAATAATACCTGCGAAAACTGGGAACTAAAATAATAAACACGGGATTTTGGAGTGGAATGGTTTATTAATTCATCCAAACTAAAACATATTAAAACACGACAAATTTTTATAAAACGTTATAAGTAAATAATTACCTATGCCCTAAACCATCAAGGCCCTTAGAGCACAATAAATAAATTAATAAATAAATCAAAACTTATTGACATACCTCACTGCGAAAGTATTTATACAACATTTAAATATTTTATAAAACATTTGTACGGAATATGTAGATGTAAGACAGAAGTATTTTACATTTAGTCATCAGGCGTACAATATTCCTAATTGGATAATTGCTAAACCGAGTTTTTGTAATAAAAGTCTCTAAAAAATATCTCTAATTAATGTAACACAAGCCTCAAAAATCCTTAAGCAACGTCCAAAGATGGAACAATCGGTATTACATTATTGCAGACATGTATTGCACGCCTGGCGATGATTTGTTCGTTTTACATATTTGGTCATTTAAATTTGCTACAATATTCCTGACTAAAGTAATTTCTTTTGTAGTGATGGGTAAATGGGTTTTTAGGCGGACGAATATTGTTAACGGTTCCAAACTTGGAAGGATGACAGTTTTTGAATTTAATTACGAAATCTCAATTCTTGACCATGTTGCTAATTACACAAACTTTAACTGCAAATTTAGCATTTCAACTTATTATAAAAAAGCATCGCAAAATCATCTTAGTTCAGTATGATTACTATAATTTAAATTGTAACTAAAATCTTTGTTAGTGTTAATAAATATGTAACAATAAAACACTGAAAACTGCGTTTTCAAACTTCCACAAAATTTATTTTAACCTCTTATCACTACAGCTGTTTCGACTGATTACCTTTCTCAAGTGATCTATTTTTGGCACGCGTTTACACTTTATAGTCTCTAATGAAATAGGTTAAGGGGGGAAGAACTGTTTGTCTCAAGTTGGCCATTCAGAATTATATCTGTCTTTTTTAGTTTGTTGATTTCCATAGATTCTAGATAGATTTCTATTGTAAATTCAATATGACTATGAAGTGAATTAATATACGATAAAAAGTCATATTGATTTTATAATAGAATCAGAACAAAATCAATCTATTGAGCTATTAATACTGAGAAGTAGGAATTGTTGTGTTGTAGGTTTCCGACAATGAATCTGTCAAAATATGCCCCAGCTAAGCGAATGGAGTATACCTTCTGTTAGATTACATATAGACGCAAATTATCAACAAAAATAGCCAAACACACAAACAAGAAAGGAATAACAACAGCTTTCCGAACAAATAACAACCTAGGCAAATATATTAAAAACAACAACAGCCAAAATAAAAAATACTTACACAGTGGTGTGTACAAACTTAAATGTGGCGACTGCCCAAAAACTTACATCGGTCAAACTGGTAAAAACTTTAATAAACGAATAGCAGAACATAAAAGAGCTTTCAATAATAGAAAAAGAGATTCTACATACGCACTTCACCTTCTAGATCACAATCATTCTTTTAATGACGAATTTCTAATGACGAAGCTATCCTTGTTAGAATCTATGAAAATCAACAAATTAAAAAACACAGATATAATTCTAAATGACCAACTTAAGACAAACAGTTCTCCCCTCCTCAAACTATTTCATTAGAGACTATAAAGTGTAAACGCATAGAAGTGCAAACAAAAATAGATCACTTTAGAAAGGCAATCAACCGAAACAGCTGTAGTGATAAGAGGTTAAAATGAATTTTGTGGAAGTTTGAAAACAAAGTTTTCAATGTTTTATTGTTACATAAAATGAATTTCCATCAAGTAACGGTCGAATCCATCAATTAGTTAATAAATATTTTTTTAGTGCTGTTTTTAAAAGTGTGTTTGAAAAGAACATATTCATAATTATTCGCATTGATGAATTCAAGATGTGTACTTATCGTTCTGATGCAGAGAAGCGTATTTGTTTTTAAAACATTTTTGCATTGTGTAGTTTTTATTTATATCTGAAAAGAAATGAGGTAAAGGTATAATACGTAGTGATTGTTATCACTAACAATCACTGTTAATTAATAATTATTATAATTAATAATCTTAAGGATTTAAGAGTAAGTATCTTGGAAAAATCGTTACTTTCTTGATCTATCAAGATCAGTCGAATTGGCTGCCAAAAGCTTCTACCGGAAACACTAAGCATTTAATTTCACAAGTTTAGAACCGTTCACAAAATATAACATATAACTTCACATAGCGTGAGGTCGATCTTTTAAAAATACGAATGAATACTTAATAATGTTTAGGTAGAGAATCCTAAATATCACCCGTGTTTTTTCTTTAAGTAGAACTCACATATCACATATTTATTTCTAATCTAAATATTATGTGCATATTGGTACAAAGTAAATTAAAGTAGATTGCCTAATTATCTTTGAAAAATATGATACTTCCACTTTATTTTGACAACAGAAATTCTGTTATGGCTGGTTCTACGACTTCTGCGTTAGTTAAGTGTACGTGATGGGTACCTTCAACATTAACTCGCACTAATTTTTTAGCATACTTTTCTATATACTCTAAAGGTATGTCGTAGTTTTCTAGTGGATCTACCTTTAAGCCTTGGCTAGCTCGGATATTTAAAACTTCACACTTTATTTGGCTAGCAAAATTTAAAACTAGATCCATCGTCATAAATCCTAATACTCCTACTTTTAACCTTGGATCTCTGGTGAATAAATAACAGCCTTCTTGATGTGGAGCCTTAGTCATACCCCGCCTTAGTAAGATCTTACAGCCTTCTCGGTCGACAGATCCGGTATGTGCCTGTACCATGAGCTCAAGCATATTCTCATAATCATAGCAAGGCATTTGATCGACTGATTTTTTTTCGTAATCGAACATTTTATCCAAACTAGAACCTGCTATTGCGATCATCTTCTGCGAGCTTCTTACACTAGGACTGGAAATATCAAGAGATACATACTTAGAAACCTCGTTAGGGTAAATAGAGGCGTATAAGAAAGCGATACCCCCACCAAGAGAGTGACCGATGATTGTTATATTTTTCCAGTTGAAGTATCTGACTACTCTTCTTAAAAAGTGGACGCCATCGTACCAAAGGTAGTACTGTAGACCTTTTGGTATGTGTGAAGAGAAGCCGTGGCCTGGTAGGTCTATGCAGTAGATCGAAAAGCCTTTAGCTACGAGCAGTGGTGCCAAGTTGTCGAAAGTCCCGGAATTGTCTTGCCAGCCGTGGATTGCGATGATTGGTTGAACAGCTCTAGAGCCCCACCACTTTCCTAAAAACATAAAAAATATTAATTATAATATATGTCTAAATTGAGGAATCTAACTACAAACACGCAGGATTTTAAGAAATTTGACAAGGCTATTGAGCAAATAGGTATACTTTATAAACAAAATGGAAAGATATCTTCCGGATATCAGACTAAAGCAATGATAGGGGACTGGATGTCTGGAAGACATTAAAAATATGACGTGATACTCACTAGATGAGATAACAAAAAAACCCGATATACCTTATTCTTTTTTGCGCAAGACGACGTACCGTATATGCAGTAATAATAAACCAGATGTAGAAACTGGGGAAAATAAGTGAAACTAGTTTTTTAAAGTTTAGTGCGCGTGTTGTCCGCTAGGTGTAACAAATAAGGGGGCAAACAATTGTAAACAAAGTTTGAAATTTCACTTGTTTCCCGTGATATTTACATGGAATTTTGTGAGAAGTATAAAGTAAATTAATCTCTTGATCGAAAAATAATCATTTTTACTTATATGAGTATAATTTTAAATCGTAATTAGATAAGACATAGTTTTTGTAATATATATTTGCTAATCTTTGGGTTTGTGGTTTAGAATAATTGTATAAAAATGGTTCGAGCATGCAGTGCATTGGGTTGTACTATAAAGAAATTCCAAGACAGAACATGTATTTCAGTATAGAAGCCTATTAATTTAAACTCTGTCTATCTAATCTATTTATCTAATTAGCCTTTTTCGGTTCATCTTTGGACATAGGCCACCCCAATCCTTTTCCATTCTTCTCTGTCTGTCGCTACAGTCATCCACTAGAGTCCACGTGCTTATTGATATCATCTGCCCATCTCATTTGGGGCCTTCCTCTGCTTCTGTTATATTCGCACGGTCTCCAACTTATAAGAATTTTGTTCCATCTGCCTCCTTTTTGTCTTATATTGTGTCCGGCAAATCTCCATTTCAATTTTGCAACTTCTTGTCTAACATCCCTCACTTTTGTTTTCTCTCTTATCCACTCGTTTCTCATTTTATCCATTTTTTTATCCCAAAAATTTTTTTGGGAGTTTATATTTTTGAACGAGTTTTTGTAAAAGGAGTTCATTGCGTATAGATGCTTTTCTTCTAGGTAGTTCATCAAAGTAGCACCTCTATCATTTCTCTGACCTTACCTCTCCTACCATGTTCAATGTTATGAATTGAAATGACATCTTATCATCCTCTAGAAGCGGCGGCTATGTTATTGGCTTAACAAACTGTTGGGTGAAGAAGGAAAAAATATTCTTTGAAGATTTATTTATTTATTTATCGTATGGCAATTACAACACATTTAGAACAAAATTATAAACACTAGTAATATAGGTATATGACAAACTTTAAATACAAACTTTCTTTGAAGATAATGAAATAGAAACTGACATAAATCTGCTTCCGGAAGAGTTACTTAAATATTGTGTTGGTAGAAAAAAAATCAAATGCAAAAAAACGCAACGGAAAAAATTTTGGTCAATTTTTTTAGCACAGTGTGTAAAAGTTTATAAATTTTGATTTAGCGTAGTGAGTTTTTTAGTAAAATTAGACTTATTAAACCGGATTAATCGGAAGGTGGTTTTTTATCCTAACTTTGAAACATCCTGTGCAATAATTCCGTTAGCGGATTTTCGCAAAACCTAGTTTTTCGGTTGCAATCATGTTTTCTAAGTATTATGTTTTTTGTTTCATGTGAAAAGATGGATTGGTTCATTTTTCGGAGCGAAATGACTTTGCCACTCACAATTTACAACTTTTTCTATTATTACCATTATCTTTTGTATTAATTTGTAATACGACAATGGGGGCTTTTGGTGACTGATATCGAAGGAAAGTCATATCGACATCCCAGAAGCACTGTATTTAAATAATGGTTAAAAGCAACGACAAGATCTTGGTTTTAATGAACAATGATAACAATAACAAAACATAAAAAAAACAACTTAAATGTAACTTAACCTAAGTACGCAAACAACAAAGAAAAACTATTAAAAAATGACTTATTACTTTGTATTGTCTCCCCTAGTCTTTATAACTGCTTTTTAAATGCAATCATTTTTTTCTTCGAATCCTGAGAAAACTGATACGTATTTTTGAAAAATTTAAAGGTAGAATGAAAGATTAAATTATTACTAAGAGTCGAAAGTCCCTGAAAACTGCTATAATGTTTATTTTCAAATATCTCATTCAAAAAAACTTTTTGTTTATTCTAATGCACTTTCGGCCCTCGGTAATAATGTAATCTTTCACTCAGCGTTTAATTTTTCAAAAATATTTAACAGTTTTTTCAGGATTCGAAAAAAATGAATGCATTAAAAAGCATTGGTCCGAAATTTTGCGCCTTAATGCTATGACGACTTGTGGAAATCTTATTTAATTTTTTTTACTCGTCTCGGACAGGTGATTTAAGAGCGTTCAATAGATCTATTTCCTTTTTTAAATAGTTTATCATGGATTCAGTTGATTTCGACCCCGTCGTGTTTTTAAAAGAGAACTAATTTGTTTTCGGTGCTTAACTTAGAAGATAAAATTAAATTGAAAAAATAGTATAAAACGACCTAAATTAAGTTTATCACAAAAAGATACAAAAACAACAAGACATTTCAATCATAAATGCTACGAAAAGTTTACATGGCTTTGCGGCAGCGAAACTGAAAATAAATTATTTTGTTTTCCTAGTGTGTTATTTGGAGACGATTCATCTTGGACTGGAAGTGGAATAGATAGACCAGAATAGATAGTGGAATAGAATAGACCTTCGCATGCTGTGTGAGATATGCCTCTATTTCTGTGGCATCCCACCTGTGTCCACTAAATTATTCCTTCTTATTTATGGTTCTGCTTCTTTGTCTCAAGCAAAGAAACTGGCTTAAACTCTTCTACATTCAGAGTACGTTCCATAAATACATAAATAAAGTTCCTTAATGTTACTTTAACGATAGTAACTATTATAACTTTTCCGTCTCCAGCGAGTCCTTGCCTTTGCAACACTTCGGCCGCTTCAGTGAAGGCCCTTAGGTCTTCCTGTCCAATTTGTACTTTTCCCTGGTACATAAACTGTAGCAAGTCTCCTAGTGTTTCGCAAGTTACGTTTGTCAAAATCACTATAGGACGTTGACAACGATTCGACTCAAATTTTCTTTAAATATGGGCCACAGCCCAAAGAACCACTTTACGTGCTTCTATGCATTTTCCATGCGATGCAAGCTCTACGCCTACAAAATATTGACTCTTCCATAATGAATCCATTCCCGAACTCATATGTTCGTGGAAATCATTCCAAAATAGTGAAAAAGACCCTCTGACGCCACGGTCAATTATCTTCCAAAGCTCCATTAAACTCTTTTCCCTCTTTTATATGTCCATCTCAGTATGATGTGCCAATTTATGAAGTTAACCAACAATTGTATAAAGAACCAAATTTTTGTTAAAATAAAGAACTTAGAAATATACGCTGCCGAACTTAAAAAAAATCTGTAGGAAATATCAAATAATCAAATCAAATAATAATCGATCAATCAATCAATAGTCAAATATCTAATAAGGTGTTAGTATTAATTTTTTTTTTGAAAAATTAAGTTCTATTAAATTCTTTTCCTTTTTACGAATCAAACGCTATTTTTTTCAATTCCAAATATCCCATAATTAATTAGTTAAACAAAGTCATATCTAATTTCTCACTGTATATTACTCGACCAAGCGTATTTATTTAAATAGAAATATTTTCCAAACGCAATTCATATTTCACTTTCACTTGTTACATTAAACAAAAGAATTTGATATTATGTAAACAGCTAAGAAAGAATTTATATTTTGCGCTTTTTGAAAGCAATAAACTCGTACACTCAAATGAACTTGATCTTGACCTACTAACTTAAATTCTGTATTTTCAACTACTAAATAGAACAATAATGGTTATTTATTCAATTGATTATATTTGATTCTTATAATCGAATGATAATTAATAATCTTTTTTATACCATATTATATCATATATTCTGTTAGACTTTATATTTTTAGTGCAATATTATGGCAATTTACGAATTTAAAAAAAAGACAATTATATTGAGAACATCATATAATGTGTTAGTATGTATTTTTGAAAAAATTTGTACTTGTCATCTCTTCACATATATCCTAAAATTGATATGAGGTCATTTTCTAGTGATACAAGACAAAAAAAAATCTACTATATACGAATAATTTGTGTAAAACCACTAACAAGTTTATATAACAAAGAGAGAAAAAGGATTTTCTTCCAGAAAGGGAGTCCTGCACTCCACACAATATTTACTGGATACCTCACTGTTTCTTTAATCTGTTGTCGTCTTAGGAAAGAGAAGAAAAAAATTGGAATGTCACTGGCGAAATGAAACGATGAAGGCTTCTTATAGCTACAAAACTTGCAAAAGTTTACAAGGATACTGAAGAAGTGACTTAATTATCCCTATTTACCGAAATTCCCCCAAACCGGGACCGCTGTCACCAATGTAAATGAATAAAGTAAAGGTAAAGGGTTCTGTAAATGAACAGAAAAGAGCGAGAGAGTGATAAGCTTGACAGTACAACTAATATAATTAATAGGGTTATGTATAATGAAAATCTATTACCTTATGTGTATATTAGGGCTTCAACCACGACACGTTCAGTCTTCTGGAACTCGGTCAGTTGAGGGTTGCGAACTTTCGAGCTGCCACAATAACCGGACTACACGCGAATTCTGACAGAAGATACCCGGCCCCCGGAAAATCACCGACTGTCTCGCGTACTGGACGCTATCGCGTCCGGCGATCACTGCCCTGAGCGGCAGTTACGGCGCCCCCGTTATCACTACTGATTGACTGCCTGACTGCTGACTACCGACTGTCTGGCGTCCGTCGTTTTTTCTTGTTTTATTGTGGTCGTACTTTCAACGCCGGTTCTAGTACCAAGGTCGTAGGTTCGCTGAGTTGCAGTTTTGGCGTTATGTGCCTATTTGGGTCACGGCTGTTGTTGT